TTTTTGTTAAATTTTTGCATGTTTTAGTTGGCAACACCGGCTCGACCATTGAAGGGAGGCCAGTATTTAAACGAGACTTAATTTTCTAATTATGAGTGGTTGGTTGTTTTGTGAGCAATAAAATAATTTAAAAATAATTTTTAATGATACAATAGCGACGATTATTATTTTAAAAAAAACTGTTAGGCTTAACATCGATGAAAATTCAACGCAAAGTTGGTTAATAGCAATATACTAATATACTAATTACATGGGATATACTAATATACTATACTAATAATGTAATTTTTTCATTCTTTTCGGTTATCCGATTTTTTCAGTTAATCGACCAACCTGAGTCCCCAATTGAGTTGGATAATCGATGCTCTACTGTATTATACTAAATCAGAGTGCTATTTATTACCTACATTATATGCATATTTTGTTACTTTATTTTTTGGTTACTTTATTATTTTCATTTTTAATTTTTCAACTTTTGTCTATTAAATTTTTCAACCGATTGTCTATCCTTTCTTCCTCTTCTTTTTTTTGTCTAAGTAGTTTTAAGTATTTAACCATAGTTCCTTTTTGTACCACAGTAAATATCTTTTGGTTGATTTTTTTGTCGTGAGATTTATCTCAACGATTCTGTCCAAGTATCTTCAGAAATTTAATGTAAAAGAACTAAAACAAGGAGTGTCGGAATCTATAAAAGAATCCTGTAAAGAAAATAAACGCAGGTAAAGAAAGAACATAGGCATATGTTATATGCTTATCCTTTTGTTGGATTACACTCACTGCATATGTATCCTACACTGTAGACAACCAAAGCTAGTCAATAAAATAAATAAATTTTTGTTGGATGAGATTTACAATTGCTTCATCATATTCCTATTTTATAAAAATATGATCTTTCTGACCATAAAAATGTTTGGAAAACATATTATTGAATACATCATTAAAAAATCTAAAAACAAGTTGTGTAACTTTCCCAGCTTTTATGAAATTTTATTTTAAAAATAACATTCATATTATTAATCAAAATTAATAACTAAAATTGTATGTGATGCCATCTGTTATGAGATTTTGTTATAAAAACTTTATATCTTCTCAATTATCATAAAATAGCAAAAGACTTAATTTTGAGAGTAGTGACAAATATTATAAAACACTGTAAATGCTAGCAACAAGTAAAATCTTCATTAAGTCCTCTGAGCCCTTGTGAAATATGGCACATGATCACTCTCTATCTCTCTATCCCCTTGACCTTTATCACCAAAATTTATTAGCATCAATAATGCCAATCAATTTACCATGCCAAATTTCGTTTCTTATCATCACCCCATCCTGAGATATTAAGCGAAACAGACACCAACACAGACACACATCCATGGAAGATTTTGCCTTTTTTTATTTTTTTTTATTTTTTTGGGTTCAGAGGTTCTCAAAACGTGCAGATTTGTAAAAAAAACTCTCAGTGTGGTAATCAAATGCAACATGATTACCACACTTTCCCTTGTTATGTATACATAACAGCCAGTTAAGTAATATTTAGAATAACTCATTTTTTATATTACTCACTTTTTAAACTCCATACTTTTAACATGAGTTTTGCATATTTGAAGTGAATGAGAGCCTTAAGATAAAAGATAGTTGACTCTGTCAAAAGACTTTAATCTTTTCACACTTCAAAACTTAACAAAGCAAAAAGACTTTTTATTTTAGTACAGGTAACCTCTGTATAACATGGGAGTTACATTCCAAAAATTTGCTGTGTTATGCAAATCCGTGTTATACAAAACAAAGAACTAGTACGAAAAGGAGGGTTAGGTTCCAAAAATTAAAAAACATGCTATTATATTTTCATAATTAAGATAAGAAAATTTTATTGCTTGCTTGTAGTTAAAAAATCTTTATAAATTTCCTTATATAGTGCTAAGCACTTATGAAGAATAAAGCAAGTATGGAATAAGGGAAAAACATCTGGCAACATCAGAAGAAGAAGTGTCGATCTGGTCATCGACACAATTCAATCGTCATTGGCAATTCAGTCATGTAATTTCAGATTAAGAAATTGGAATAAAAATATTAATTTTTAGAAAAGGTTTTAAATTCAAAAGTATCATATATACTATGTTATAGAAATTATCCATACAAAAATGTGTTTAATAGATAGGCAATATTGCAATAATAGTTTTCTAAATTTATCTGATTGTTATCAGATGCAATGGCTTCCTTGAAATCTGATAACAAATTAAGTGGAATCTCATTTTCTATCATTTGCAGTGCACATTTGTATAGTTCTCCACAATTAATTGATAAATCAGGTTCATTTTCCAAAAACAATTCCTTACGTCTAGCAGAAATACATTTTGAATAATCCACCCTATTTAAATCGAAAGGAAACAAACCATGTGTCTCAAACCCATGTTGAATTGTATCCGATTTCAAAGCTTTCTTGTAAGCTTCAAAGTTGGTTTTAGAAATTGATTTTGATGATTGTTGCTTGTGTTTTCTGACACCATTTCTCCACTGACATTTAAGCAGTCAAAAAATTGCAACATTACAAGGCTGGATAACATGAGTTGCAATTTGGCAACAAACAAAAATGGAGAATTCTTTTCTCAACACAAAAATTATACAGTTTTTCATTTATATAGGATTTATGTCAATCAAGAAGCAATAATGCAGTAAACTCAATATTCTTATCTAGAAGCCAGGTGTAGAAGACATTTGCAACATATTCATTAAATGTGGCACTTATCATCTATCCTGAATCACTTCTGCATACAGCAAAGTCATCTGAAACTGAATCTGCAATATGCCTTGGAATTCTCTTGTATGGGAACACTATCATAGGATCCACTCACTGGCCACTTGCAGAAAAATTACACAAAACTGTGATACACTGTTTTTCTTGTCCTGATGCAATGTTATAAAAGTTCTTATATGCTTTAAGTCCCAGAAGTTTGCCAGTTTTTGGACAAAATAACATCTCTGTTTTATCTGTATTGAAGATACAGGAAAGATTTTGCAGAATATCACTTGTATGTTCTTCTCTCGGATAATTATTTAATTCTTGAAACCAATTCATTATCATCTCTTCTGAAACTGATGCTTGAGCTTTGGATATCACTTCTGTATTCTTTGCCACTACATTAGGGTGTCTTTTTAGAAAAAGCTTTAGCATTTTTTCCTGGATGATCAACATTAAATGAGTTCTTTCATTTCATATCTTTCATAACTTTCTGAACTGCATCTTTTACTTCATCAGGATGCATGGAAAAACTCAATTTGGCTTTCCCAATAATCCATTTTTTTAACTTGTCTTCCTCCACTTTACTTAATGTTGCTGCAAGGCCCATTTTTTGCTCCATTGGTACCTTTCCATGTAATTTATTTATTAAAGTTTCTTTTGGAATGTTAAAATTTTTGCTAGCCTTCTTAGCACTCATTTTATTTGAACCTACTGCTTCTACAGCTGCATACAAATCTTCTTCACTATATTGAAAATGTCTATAGGCTTTCTTCTTTTTGTTTTATTTCATCTGCCATTTTGAATTTATCTGAACAAAACTAAATTCAAATATCTTTAATTATTCATCTCAAACCATTTTAATGTGCAGCAATGAATGATCCCACATAACTTTGAACTATAGTCATTTACTGGTATAAGTAATTCTGTGCTCAAAAATGAAAATAATGCACAGAATAACTTTATCACCATTAAATGACCGAAGTGTTCCTTCACTGGAGAAGAATCACCTAAGATCCAGTGAGTGACTATCCCCTATCTACACACCTTTAAAAGTTAGAATTAATTTTTTGTACTAAAACCATACTTTAAATATCTACAAAACTATTTCTTTACTCAATGCTTAGGAAAATCAATAAATAATTATTTTAAAATGCTGCTATATGAATCCTTGCCACAATTCTTACCTTATTACAATACAAGCAAGATTACACCTTACACACACATCTCAAGAAAACTGCCATATTTAAAACACTATCACATGTTTCTGAATGACCAATGAAAGAGGATATTTTAAAATGTAGTTGATTTTCAGTAATTCAGCACTTCTGATAAGTTTTTCTTGTCATGGCACTTATTTTAAACAAATTTCTGGCAATACAGTCATTCACTGTTGATCAACTAATCAACAGTGAATGACTGTATTGTCACAGTTGATCAACTGATGATCAACAATAAGTATCCTACTTATTGTTAATTAATAAAGATCCTTTTTGTGTAATTGTCAATCATTCTTTTCGTTATTGAAGAAATATTTTATATTTATTCTGTATATAACTAATCACCAAACGTATGCCATAAATCAATTGGGCTAGTTTTAAGGCTAATTACTAAATAAATTACGTAATCAATTTGGCACTAGAGGTAGGCGTTAGGCGCCATCTCTTATTAATATTAATAATTATAAATAAATTAATTAATTTAAATAATTTAGAACCGCTGGGAGAAAAAATCGGCCCGGAGCGGGACTCAAACCCACAACTCCTGCTTACCGTGCAGATGCATTGCCAGTTACGCTATCCGGACCTCCAGTCCGATCTCCCCTTCCAGCGTATAACTATGTAACCATCGACGGTTATTACAATGCCGGCTGGGGACACATTCAGTGCCCACGTCCTACTCCTATAAGGCACTCAACCGGCCATCGCAAGCCCCGGCAAGGCGTAATATATATAATCATCGCTAAACCCGATGTAATATAGCTAATCACCAAACATATGCCGTAAATCCATCGGGCTAGTTTTAAGGCTAATTACTAAATAAATTACGTAATTAATTTGGCACTAGAGGTAAGCGTTAGGCGCCATCTCTTATTAATATTAATAATTATAAATAAATTAANAGCATCAATAAATGCTAATTCTATGTTTTTTTTTCTTGTTTCTTACTATTTTAATAACTGAAGTTATTTGTCAATTATATTTAGTTATTTATTTAAAATTATATCTAATTGTAATCAAGTGTGTCAAAATTAACATATAAATACCTGTATCAGGAATAATGTGAAAATATTCTTGTAACAGATCACTTTGAATACGGTAAGTGACTCTTCCATATTCTCCAGTATCTGTATCTCTAGCTGTAACAGTTGTTACATAAGTTCCAATATCTTGATTTTCTTGAAGTGCTACTTCGTAAATTGTTCGTGTGAAATGAGGAGAATATAAATTGGCACTAAAAACACTGATATGTACTCTGGTATAGCTTGAAAATACACCATCAGTTACAGATATATTAAGAAAATAAGAATATTGTTGAGAAAACTGATGACGATTAGATAACGTTATAATACCTAACATAAAAATAAGTTATTAAACCTCACATTTATAATAAATAAACAGATTTTAATAAATATCAGCTTACCTGTTTTATAATTGACAGCAAACACCTGCATTCCATTGCCACTTACAATTGAATATCGTAATAATTCTTGATCAGTCACATCTGGATCTATTGCAGTTACTCTCGTAACAAACTGTCCATGTCTAGCATTTTCACTAATTGTACAGCTGTAAGTTGGATAATGAAATAACGGAGGATTATCATTTATATCTTTAACAATAATCCATATGTGTGCAGTAGAACTTAGATGAGGTGTTCCTTTATCAGTACCAATTACAACAAAATGATGCTGCTCTTCTATTTCATGATCTAAGGGTTGTTTAATAAATACTATTCCTTCATCCTCATCAATATGAAAATTTGAAGAAGCATTGCCTTGAATTTGATATCGAATCTGTTGATTTTCTTTGGAATCTCTGTCAGTTGCTCGAACAACCAATACAGACGTTCCAAAAGGCATTGCCTCTGAAATAGTTGTATTATAAACTGGTTGAGTAAACATTGGAGGATTATCATTTACATCTTCAATATGAATATAAATAGGAATTTCAGCATAAATTCCAGATACAGCATCTGTAGCCCTAAGAGTCAACTGATATTGTTGAGTTGTTTCATAATCCAATTCTTCTGCTGCATACATAATACCTTTAAAAAATTATTTTGTTAGTAATATTTAATAGAAACAAAGCTAGATATATAAAAACAGAAAGTCAGAGATCTATGAAAAAAATTTTGTTGCAATTAAAGAAAGAGATTAATTATAACATTTAATTGTTATATATTGTATTTACTCCAATATAAGATACCATCAAATCTAAGATGAATCTTAGTTTATCCATGCTCACCAACATAATTTTTTAAAATAGACAACTCAAGACTAATTTTTGTAAATAGAATCAGTTTGACTGACATAAATTTGTTCAGTATTTATTACACAATAAAGGTTACTGTGATTTTTATTCAAGTAGTTATGATATTACTGTAACAGACTAACAAGATTGAGCTAAATTGATCTCTTATATATTTACTAAAACAAATACAGTGGAACCTCACTTAACAAGCATAATTTGTTCCAGAGTTTTACTCATAAAGCAAAACACTCGTTAAGCAAAACAATTTTTCTCATATAAATCAATGTAAAATATGATAATGTGTTCCATGCTAAAATAAAATACAGTAGACTCCCTATAACGCGGATTCCTATAACAGAGATTCCTATAATGTGGCAAAAAAATTGCAACAGTATTCGTATAAAGACGCTAAAAGGGACTCGTAAAATGTTGTCACCGACTCGTGTTGCAACAGGATTGGTCGAATCTGGACCAATAGTAGATGAGCAGCCGAACTACTTACACACTACAGAGAGTTTAGGCGAGTAAGTTGAGTTTACTATCGTCTGTACAGTATTATATATAAATTAGATACTGTATATATAATTATATATTAACTTAATTTATTTTAACTTTATCATAATTATATATATATATACACTTTCTGCTGTCCAGCGCCACGCTACGGAGTGTTTAGGCGAGTAAGTTTAGTTTACTATCATCTGTACAGTATGTAAATTAGGTACCGTAAGTCTAATACAGTACTGTAATTTTATACATTTCTTGTGAAAGAAACATTTCTTATTCAACGGCCGTAAAAATTGTTTATATTAATAATGTCTCCAAAGTTCAATGAATTTTTCGCAGAAAAATAACTTATCAGAAATCGCGGCCGCCGTTTGTGCGCTGCTCCGCGACGAAAACAAGCTTAAGCAATGGCGACGTCAAACGGTGCATACTCGGTAAGTAATCCTACAATTTTTTGTTTATAGCATAGTTTATACGGATTATTTCCAAAAAATTAAACATGTTTTGGAAATGTTGAGTCGAATTAGTCTAGAATCGATTAATTTTATGGAAGAAAACCCTTCAAACAACCGTAGTCCGTAAACTTCGCACGTGTTGGTCTGCGATTGGCTCATGTATTTAAGAATTCCTACAATGTGAAATTCGTAAAATGTGGAACGTATCTACACATTATAGGGGGTCTACTGTACTCAAATATTTTATGTATAATGTTTATTCAAAAAAATTACACATTATAGTTAAGGAGCATCAAATCATCATCATCTTTTCTTCTAGCGCAGAATGAACCAACCTGGAATTCGAATTCGATTTGCAGGAAACAAAAAAAAATCAAAATATAATCAAACAAGAATGATACTACACTGGGGTAAAGTATACAGCAAATGTACCAGTGATCCTGTTACTGGTGTGCTTCTCAGAAAAAACAGAGCGTTACGAACATTTTTGAACTTGGAAGTTCTTCTTCAGGTAACTAATGACTGTTAAACGAATGCGATTCAAATTAGTCATTAGTTACCTGAAGAAGAACTTCCAAGTTCAAAAACATTCATAATGCTCTGTTTTTCTGAGAAGCACATCAGTAACAGGCTCACTGGTACGTTTGTTGTTCTAAATACAGACATTTCTAATATTTAATTATAGCCATTACATAGTCCAAGAATTTGGCATATCGTTTGGCATGTTTATTATATAATGGGTTATAGTTGTTGATGTTTATATGTAATATGTCTGAACACAAGTTTGAAAAAATATGTGACACTAAGATGATAGCAGAACAAGTACTAAACACAGACTGATGTAGCATGCGGACAATGTGGGACTTTCCCTCTCCTCGTCACTCATTATGCAAAACATTGCTTGTTAAGCAAGTCATTTTTTTATAATTTGCTTTGATCTTTATGCGAATAACTCATTATGAGAAGTGCTCATTAAGTTCCACTGTACTGGTCTAAAAATGCATTAAAATGACAAAATGGAATTAATGACAAAGAAATATAATGCATGGCTCTAGAGGTTGTTAAATATTATGTATTACATCAAATCTAAAGACACACCCTACTTTCAGAGGTACCAAAACCAGAAAACAATATATCTTACATTCAAGTAAATATATTATATTTACTTAAGATACAAGAATCTCACATTTAAACCCTCCTACTCTGTATTTTGGATCTGTTTTTCTTTTTTATGCATTGCAAAAAGTTTTAAAATTTTGGGCTCAATCTCCCAATAAAAACACAAATGACTTTGCATAGTATATTATGTAATGACAGAGCTAATTTATCCACATTACAAAAACTGCAAAATTACCTAATTCCCCTACTGCATCAAAACAATTATATAAAGATAAATTACATTGGGGCCACAACAAGAAATATTAGAGCACCAGGGTGACATTTGTAACAACAGACATACCACAGAGCTAACTAAAAATGGTAATAGAGCATCTTGTAAGTTAATCAAACTTGAAGGTTGGATGTCACACCGATCTTTTTACTAAAATAATAAAGAAACTTTCACAAAAAGGAATCACAATAAAATGTTATTTTAAACATATTTAACACCTTTTTGTGAAAGTTTCTTTGTTATTTTAGTAATAGAACATAAATTTATACCATCTTAGAATGAAACTGCCCTCTTAGCTCAATATATGGATTGCAAAATCATTTTTATCTGGGAGGTTTTGTTCATCAAAAACTGAAACCCTGTAATAAACCCACATTGGGACTCCCAAGAGTATAAATCACTCTATTCAAATCCATAAACAATTAATTTGCAATAGAGTGCACCACTTCTTGAATTTAATTTATTTGGCTAGAATAAAGCAGCACTAGTAGCTGCATGGCTCTTTCTATGCAGCAACCAATTCAACCTTGTGTTTGAATTCAATAATGATTTCAAGCTCTTCAAATTTCATAATTTTGTTCCAACTAGAATGAGTCAACGTTAAATTTAAAAAATTTATATTAGCATTATAGAATATGTTCTTATAGAATATGTTCATTATAGAATTTGTTCTTCACCTAACAAAGACATTTTTGTAAATATTGAAAGTACTTGAGTCAGCATTTCTTTTTGTTATTAAAGGCAGTTAATGCTGAAAAAACAGTGATTTTAGTAATATTTACTTTTTAAAAAAAACATATTAACACACATATAAAAGAAATTCATAGTTGCAAATGAAGTCAGGCAAGCTATGCAAATGACAGTTGCAAATGTGAACATCCATACATTTTCCTACAAGGTATATTGTATACAAATGCTTTTATGGCTTCTCTCGGAGACCAGCAATTTTTTTCTCAAAAAGTATTTATGCAGTGACAAAAGTGTCAAATGCATGTCATCCAGGTTGAAAAGTTAGAATATAAAAATTTTCAGACTTTTTACGAAATTTTAAATGTAAGAAATGTTTAAAAATATGTAAATGTTTAAACATGTGAAACCCCATGCAAGCAACAAACATATTTAAAAAATTATTTTTGAAACTAAGTCATTTAACTATACCATTCAAATTGTTTTATATAAGTTTAGTATAGTTCCAAATTTTTAAAAATTATTTTTTAAATATGTTTGTTCTATACCTTACACTTCTACACTTCAGAGATACTAAAACCAGAAAACAATATATCTTACATTCAAGTAAATCTAAATATATAAAATTACTTGTCCTGATTGACTGACTGACTGGGTGATTCATCATCGCCCAGAGCAAACGGCTGAACCTAAAGAAGTGAAATTTGGTACACAGTTAGGGTACATCATGAAAACGCACACTAAGAAGGGATTTTTCAAAATTCCCCTGCAGGGGGAGAGGGAGAGGATTAAGGCTTAACCGGAAGAATGGCTTCTACTGTACTATTTTAGATGCAATTTTTTGTTTTCAACTACATTTAGTCTTCATTGAGTACTTAGGTGTATTAAATTGATAACATTTCAGACATTGTTATAAATATTTTTATCTATTTCGATTTTAAAAATGTTCGAACCGTTTTAATTTGTTATTGCATATTGGTTCGATTATAGAACGATTGTAAACTTTCCAAAAAATTGAGCAAATTGAAAATAGTTCGTTTGATTCTCAGCAATTTTCTTCAGCGGTAGGTGTTATATAACAATTACTACAGTTATTGAAATATTGAATGTAAATGGGGTTTGCTTGCAAAACCTCCACGGACGAAGTTGCGGGTAACAGCTAGTATACTATATATCTGATTGAACAGAAAGTTCTCGCACTTTTGGACACATTTCACTTAGCCAAAAAACTTTTATGTACAGAATTGACTTCAATCATCAATATAATCACTGTTATTGTTGACCACTTCCTGCCAACGTTTATGCAAGAAATGGATGCCATCTCAATAAAACTCTGGCAGCTGCGATTTGAAGAAGTTGGTCAGGTTGGCCTCCAAGTCGGCTTCATTGTTGAACTCCTTGCCAGCCAGGTGACGGTCGAGCACAGCAAACAGGTGGTAATCCAAAGGTTCAATGTCAGGGCTAAACAGCAGGTGGGCAAGACCTCCCAGTTCAGGTCCAGTAGTTTCTGGCAGGTCTGCCTAGCCATATGTGGCTGTGAATTGTCATGCAGCAGAATGGTGTTCAGGTGTTCCGGGCAGGTCTCCGCCAGTTTCTGCTGCAGATGTCGAGTTGTTCGCAGTGGAAAGTTGCGTTGATGGTTATATTTTGCGGCAGCAACTCGAACATGATGATTCCTTTAGAATCCCAGAAGACAGAAAGTATGATCTTCTTGGTTTAGGGATCTCCACTTTTGAAGCATTTGTACCAATCGTA